TATTTATTCTCTATGGGACTGAAGACCTTAATTCCAAATAGAGCTGCGAAACTGGCAAAACCTGGAGGACTAAAGAAAAGATTGAGAGGGGAAGAGGGTGGACAGCGTCTGGACATATTGTGTCACTTCAGGCTCCACCCCTGCAGCTAGGTGTTTGTATCAGAAACACCTCGCTGTAATCAGGGCAGTCATGTGTAATGTCACATAATACTTGAATTTGCAGAGGCCACTGAAGCAGCACAAACTTAGGCTACATTCATACTGCAGCCTGAAGTGACCCAAATCAAAATTTTTCACCCCTATGTGACCTGTATCTGATCTTTTAATGACAGTCTGAACGACACAGATACGATTTTTTCAAATACCATTTGGATATGTGCTAATAAAACCGATACATATTCCATCTTTTGACAGTCTGAACAGCCAGGTCACATTCATCCCACCTCCACGTCAGGCTCGGAGTCTCATCAATGGAGGGAAAGCGAGGTTAGCAAGTTTATTAATATTTGGGGGGGATCCCTGTATTCAGGCCAAATTAGAGGGGTCTTATCTGAACTGGGCGTTTTTGGAAATGATTGCCAAAGAAATGTCCAAGCGCGGCTACAAACTGACTCAGATGTCAACAAAAAATAAAGAGCCTTTGAGTCAAATACAAGGAGGCTAAAGACTCAAACAAATGAAGCGGCCGTAGACGTGTAACCTGTCCATTTTACCAAGAACTGGACCGTATTTTGGGAGACAAGTCCAGTATTTAGGCAACATCCGTAAAACCCTGAGCACGCTCGCTTCGTGTGACGTCGTCTTGTCCTCCAATGCTCATGCGAGACACTTTTGGAGCATTTAAAGTTCACACTGGAGATCACATACAAGTCACATTTAATTGAAAATGTGAACGACCTCGCAAAACAATCGGATTTCACACAAAAAAATCCGAATCGAGCATTAAACCCTGCAGTCTGAACGTAGCCTTAGATTCAAGCATTTATGACCAGAAACTTCATGTATTAAAGTTATCAAAAAAGAACCGTAGATAATACTATTAAAACACCATATTCACAGTTCAGTAGTGAAAAAAGTGGATTTAGTGTTTAGTTCTGCTTAAAAAAAAACCTGTTGTATTGCAGCCAAACACAAAATAATCTGACTCAGATTATCAAGACATGTTTACTGTCAAATCTTGTTGATTAGAGTCCCGCTGTCGTCCAATCGGCTTTGGAGCTGCGGCGCTGTTTCGTAATCTCGGCTGGCACGGGCAAATCCAGTGTCCAATAGCAAACAGGGCAGCGCTTTTTAAAGAGGAAGCCTGTACACGCTGAAGTAATCTGCCCAAATGTGATGAAAATATGCAATAGGCAAGGTGTGAAGCGGCCTTACAATTTAATCTCAGCTACACTGCAAAAAAAGAAAAAAACGTTGTAGAAATTCTTGGAAAATGTTTAAATAAATGTGTCATCTTTTTTCCATGTACTGTTATTTTTTTTGCAATACTAAAGCAGACATGTTGAACTCAGGCCCGGGGGCCAAATTTGTCCCACGATATAATTATATTTGGCCCGAGAGATCATATCAAATATGTATTAGAGCTGCCCGCCGGCTACAGATAGACTATAGAGACATTGTTGATTTAAATTTTGTTATTTTATATTCTGCTTGTTCTGGATTCAGTGTTTAAGCAAAACTGTTATTAAACATTTATTTTAATAAGCAAAGGGTTAACATTACATATCTCGAAAGAAGAGAAAAGATGCAGATGTTGATGACATTTTTTCAATAAATATTTAGTTTGGCCCACGACTTAGTCCCACTTTTTAATTTTGGCCCTCTGTGAATTTGAGTTTGACACCCCTGGTATAAAGCGATGTTTTTAAAAGGTAATCTGCTGAAAGGACTCTTGTGTGCTTTAAGATATGGAAGAGTGTTGTTTCCTCATCAAAAATAACACACCTGGAGTTGTGTTTTGTTTCATTCACACATGTTTGAGTAACTTTATTATTAGTCTGTCTACATCTCCAAAGGTCACAATGCTCTGCTCCACCTTGTGATGTCATGAAGTTTTCAATTTAAAAACTACCTCTCACCATTAGTTCAGTAGAAATCGGCAATTCCAGGGCTGAAACTGATTCAAATGATTTTAGTGAAGGTGTTTGGAGTTTAAAAACACAGTGGAGCACTTGCTGTATTACCACATGACATCACAAGGTGGTACAGAGTGTTTTCAGTTTGAGAGAAGTACTCAGCCTAAATATGCAGGGTTTGTGTGATAACTCGTTAACGCCGAGTGTAACAAATATACGACAAACCGTTGGGACATAAGACGAGAAAACTGCTGCATTCCTCCAGTGCCGGTTCGTGTAGATGCAGGACCTTCCTTGGAACATTTGGCAAGCACTTGTTTCTAGTTGTCACAAATTTGCAACTTACCCAAATTTCTAAAAATAACAGTATTGGAGTGCTGCACTGGATCAGAACTTACACATACAGGTGCTCATCAGTAGCCTGATTTTGAGCCGGTTTCACTTCGTAGAAACCATCTGACCTCGCAGCATTAGAAATCGTTTGCTCAACAGTAGGCGGGTACTTTTTTTATTTAACCAATCTCTGCTATTTGGTCATGACGTATGTAATGCACCGTTAACGGGGGCTAACTGGTATATTAAGTTTTTCCCAAATCCCGTAGGAAAAAAGGCAATAACGTCTTTCGTCTTGATAAAATTCACCAAACATTCTCTTTATTCCAGCTTTAAATCCTCGATCTTGGGAATCGTTGACAACACTGAATATATGGGTCTTCACTGATCTCGGACTCACACTTCCGGGGTTTTTGCATATTCCGATTCCTGACCTAGTCACTGGAGAAAAATAAAATTGAGTGGAGGGACTAGGTGGTGCCAGCCTGGCTAGCTCATCAGACCAGAGGGCTTGAATTCTTGTTGAGTAAAAAAAGGATGACAGAGGCTCTCCGATTTGTGGTGTATTTATTAATTGTCATGCCAACACGTTTCGACTACTTGTCTTCATCAGGGCTGGAGCCAATTTTCTATTCTATATTTATTTATTTATTTTTGCTATAGTCAAATGAATAGGGGATGAGGAGGCCGCGATGGACGAGTGCAATTGAGATATTTGTTCCTGCACGAGTGAACACTCTGCAAGCTGCAAGAAGAATTTTAATGTACAGTTTTATTTGCAGGCTGATCAAATCAGGTAATGAAATAATAATGTCACTCACAAAGATTCATTCAGATAAGCTTCAGATCAGATCAGATTCAGTGCAATAACATATCAGTCCAATATGTGAAGACACTGGTGTGGTTGTCTTCTAAAAACATAAATGTTTATTGTTTTGTTTTGTCACTGTCCTTGTCTGTTTTAAAAATGGATCAAAAGTCTGGAATAAAGATGATGATGATGATGATGATGAATAATCTCAATTTAATTCACCATCTACTTAAAGGCAAAACCACACACAAAACATTTTTTTAATATTCATCTATATAAATTCAAGCGTTAAGGGTTAAATATATTTGAATAAAACAAAACACAACTCCAGATATTTTATTTTTGATGAGGAAACAACATTATAACACAGAGCAGCAAACAGCATAATACAAAACTTTTAAATTAACATATTTTCAATCAACAATACATATTTTGGTGGAAAAATGGAACACATATATCCACAGGTGCATTACGTAACGTTTTGTCGGTGCTCATCTCCATGGAGATGTTATTGCTTTACATAGAACATTGACTTTAGAGTAATTTATCTACCAAGCCAAGTTACGGGTCAGATCATATTAAAGAACATTCTTGTCAAACAGATGTCGCGCCCTCCATGAGAAAAAAGTTACACCATGTACCTTTAAAGCCAATATTTAATTACCATAATAACATAATTTGATTTGTATTAATTTCACTTTTTCAGTTAGAACTGACTCTTCTTTCTCTTCTTCCTGCTCTTTTTCATTCATTTCTTGTATGTTTGACGTTGTTACACTGTTGATGTCTTTTTATACTTGAAATAAATAAATACATAAATAAAATTTAAATAAATATAATAAATAAATATATATATATATATATATATATATATATATATATATATATATATATATATATATATATATATATATTATATATATATTTATTTATTTATTTATTAAAAATATAAATTAAAATGTATCAATAAAAATAATAATAATAAAAATTAATTAATTAATTAATTAATTAATTAATTAATTAATTAATTAATTAATTAATGGAATCTGCCGGCATGTGAAAGTTAAAGGAATAGACATGGGGCCCAATTAATGACTTTTTAAAATGAGACATTATGCCCTAACATGCCTTCTTCTTTATTTATTATTTATTAATTTATTTATCTATTTATTTGTTTATTTATTTATTTTTATTAATTTTTACTTTTTTTTTTTCTTCTTCTTCTTCTAGAAAAAAAAAAAAAAGTAAATATATAAATTGTGTGAAGGCCTGACTGTTGATGTGAACTGATTTGTGGCAATAAAAGTAAAAAAAAATAAAATAAAATAAATAAATAAATACATTTTGAGACAGATTTTTGTTTTTATTTTTGTGTCATTTGCTGTATTATTTCAGTGTTTTTTTTTTTTTTTGCATTTCACTTTAATTTATTCATCAATTTACTATAAAAATGTGTGTACGGATAATAATTAAACAACACATTTAAATAATCTCGTCACAAAGTCAAATAAATCAAAGTTTTGCAGTGTTCCTCTGTGCAGCTCGCCCTCCCTCGTCTCTCACATGTTACGTCAGAGCCCGGGATGGTTAATTCAATGTGACGCTAAGCTCGTCCAGCTCCGAGCTCGGAAATCGGACTGGCATTCATGTGTGCGTGCCTGCATATGTATGTGTGTGTGTGTGTGCGTGTGTGTGTGTGTGTGTGTGTGTGTGCGTCACTGTGGGAAAAGGAGGGGGTGGAGCCTGGCAGTAGCAGAAGTTGCATTGTCAGAGGAGAGACAGTTGGATTTGCGAAGTGGATATTTAGAACGAAGATGAGCTGTATTCCGGCATCGCACAGGTAAATAAATATTTTGCTGATTTTTTAAAATTTTAAATAAATATATACACATTTATTTTTATATTTTGAGAGCTTTGAATTTCTTTTCTATTTTGAATTTTTTTTTAGTTAGGGTAGAGTTTAACCAAGTCTGATTTCATCGCTACTCCAATACAACTCTCGTATAAATGATTCGTGATTTGGTGAAATATATTTGTGCGCACTCTTTAAATTTTGTATAACATGGGTATTTTTTGTCACTCTCACATTTTTTCCTATAGATTTTGGGTCACACTTTTCATTTACCATTCATATTACAAAAACACATTTCAATATAACAATGCGTAGACAAAATTTAACTAAAAGCATTTTCAGGGATTCAGTTTCTAATTTCAGCTTTTTCTTTTTCTTTTTCTACTACTATCACTACCACTACCGCTTTACAACACTATCATACAATAATTATAAAGCAGTTTCCAGTTCACCTTTTAATATAGAGATAATAGAATATTATTTTACGCAATTCCTGTAAAACCACTAAAATACAGATGATTTTTTAATATCTAATCCATTTTGTTATGTTAAAATTCCCCCAGGCTTCTACAGCTTTAATGATTAACAAAGTGACTAAGCGGTGACTTTCAAAATATACACCAAAATTACTACAGTTTATGGAGACTGAGCTCAAGATTTCAGTTTCGAGGTGTTCTGGGGTGTCAAACTCAAATTCACAGAGGAAAAAAATTTAAAACTGGCACTAAGTCGTGGGCCAAACTAAATATTTATTGAAAAATTTCATCACCATCTGCATGTTTTCTCTTCTTATGATATGTAATGTTAAAGCTTTTCTTATTAAAGTAAATGTTTAATAATAGTTTTGCTTAAACATTGAATCAAGAAGGAGCATAATATAAAATAATAACAAAATTAACAAAAGTAAATAATGTCTCTATAATCTATCTGTAGTCGGCGGGCAGCTCTAATACATATTTGAGATGATCTTGCAGGCCAAATATAATTATATCACGTACCAAAGAAGAAGTTTTAAGACTTTTAAGAATGATTTGTTTTGTTCTCGATTGCTTACTTTGTCTGGCAACATTTGAACATTTGCGCTTTTACAGTTTTAAAAAAGGTGCAACGATCACAACTGAACCTGGTTACCAATCCCTAAACTTGCAGATAAATTCTTAGATTTATGGACAGGCCTCATGTGAAAGCTCAGAACCTCCAGAAATCCCTCCTTGAGCTGCAAAAGCTGCACTAGCGCTGGTTCCTGACTTGCTGCAGGTGCTTGGGTTTAGGTAGTGAACATTCAGACTACAGACTACTTGTTTCTACTAAGTTTAATTCAGAAGTGTTTACATGCTTTCTTTTTTACTGTCAGCATTTTGTGGTATAATACAAATTAATACTGAAAATTATGACATTATGCTTTAAAATAAACAAATAAACAGATAAAAAAATACAATACAACAGTATTACAAAGGATGAGGATACTACTCTAGAGTTTTCAAGAGCATTCCAAGTCCTGAGAGTAATTTTATCCAACCCGGAATTGCAAATGGGATTACACTGCGCTGCCACGATACAACCTTGCCTCGTATCCGGAGCCCAGTTTCCAAAATGTTCTTGCGTAAAGGTGCACTGTGTAACTTTTCAGGTGGGGGGTCTGTTAAATGCTTCTTTTCTCCATGGAGATGTCATCGCTCTGTCTGGAATATTCCACAGTGTGACATTAAAGAGCTCAACCTTAGTTTTATTCACTTACAGGTGGTTTTACAGCTCAAAAATATTTAGAAAAACAGGCATTCTGACTTTGAGCAGGGTTGCCTCTCCACAGATCTGACCTGTAACTTGACCTGTAGCCTGTGTCCCTCCACCAGAAAACCTCAAGGGCCTATACACGATGTATTTTTTATTTTTTTTGCAAATTTTTGTTCTTTATCCATGTATATTATATAAGCAGCTCTTGAGGTCACAATAAGTCAACTGTGTACTGTCTGCGTCGAATTATAAATCGTTTTATTGTCCGAGAATCAGGAAGTGCACTGTTAGCATTACAGTGACAGTAAAATTCTGCTATTGCTCTTTTTGTATCAGTCTTTAATTCTCACTTTTGCAGAACTCATATTATTTAAAATCGACTTTTTATTTCCTCATCATCAAAAAGAATCATTAGAGTTGTATTTTGTTTCGGTCACGCTTGTTACTTGTTACTATAATTCATTTATCCAAAGTTGTTTTCTCTAAAATGCTCTGTTTGCATTTGTCCAGTTTTGTTGTGTCATAGACAAAAACCCAGACTCGTGCAGTTTTTAAGTCCATAAACCATCACCGGACTCATTCTATGGTCAAATTATGTTCACCGCATGGTAAGAGTGTAACGATATCTGAGTCTCACGATACGATATCGTCACGGTATGAACCTCACAGTACGATATTTATTGTGATATTGTGGGAAAGCTCACGATATGGCAGGGAGGCTCATGATTAGGGATGTAACAATATCCAAATCTCTCGGTACGATATTTTCATGAAACACATTTATTGCGATATTTTGTGGAAACTAAACAGCTAAAACTATTAATATGCTACTTTTTCCTCGTAAAATGCCTTGACAAGACTTAACTCAAAGAACTAAGACTTAAAAGTGCTTAGAACTGTTATTTCTTCTTGTAGTCTGCACTGAAATGGAGCAAAGGATCATGGTCTATGTAGTTCTCTGTCTTTTTTAACTATTGCTGCACCATAACTTTTAATTTAAGCAAAGAGAATTGTAATTTGATATATTGTGATGATCCACGATATTATTGTGAGAACTTTGACGATACGATATCACGATATTTCGGTTATTGTTACACCCCTACCGCATGGCTCTATCAGCATGGTTTGAACATAGGAAAAGGAATTAAATTGTTTACTTTGCATTTTTCATTCCCGTTCCTCACAGCAGAGGGAGCTCCAACACCTGACTGGACAATTTAAGTTAGAAAACGTGACAAATTTATCCCGACGTGACCAAAAGCATGTTTAAAAGATCGTTAAAGCTGCAAGAATGCGTAATGTGTGTTCTTTAAAGCTCTTTATCTTACACAAAACTGACTTGCCATGTTATAATTCCCTCTCAAAAGCATTCCTGAAATTGAAACACGGGATTATTAGACTGTCTGGATCTCCAAAGCTCAAAATCTGTTCCATCTTAGTCGTAGTTTTAAGGTGAACTGCTATTTTTGGCCTCAATTAAACTGCTTTACTCTTCAGCACATTAGAATAACTTTAAGTCGTTGCTTTTATTTGTGAATAGTTTTGATTTAGCTTTCGTTCAGTTGAGATTCTGAATAGTATCGAGTATTTTTGGTGCACCGAGGAGTGAAGAAGGTTCAAAGAGGCAAAAACAGCAGCTGCAGTTTCAAAGTTTGATAAATCCTGGGCTGAAATTATCCAAAATACTAATGGGAAGGTGTATAGAGTTTCAAAAACACAACTCCATTTCTGTTTTTGCTGAGGAAATAACATTATAACACAGTGTACATCAGAAAATCGGTTAATATGAGCCCTTTAAATTTGTACTTTTTACTCCTCTTTCGTGCTTAAAGGCTTACGATGAGGGAACGCCGTTATCGTAAAAACTTCTAAAAGTATTTTACGTAACATGTTCTCTTTAAGTGACAAATTTAAACATCAACATTAATCCCTAACACTGTCATTTTAAACGAGATCACGAAATGGCTGCCTATATTTTATTTATAGCGTTCAATTAAAAACAGGGAGCACTTTGTAGCTTAAAGTTTGTCATTAGTGAGTCTTTAATGAAGGGCTGAACTCTTTGGCACAGCATTGGTCTAATCGGGTTGGCCTGGTTTGCTCTGCCCTCTCCTTGTCTCATCTAAATCTTCTGCACGCGCTCAGTGGCTCCTCTGTAGCTCCTTATATCGTTACATGCTTACCTGCAGATTAACATATTGTCTTAGAGGGGTAAACGTTCACTCTGTGTGCGGATACTCACTTACCCTGTTCATGTTCCGAGGGGGCTGATAGAGCTCTTGTATTTTTTTCTGAATTCATTTCTGTTTGTCCAGTTCCTAATAAAAGAGAACCTATAATCTCATGGACTTCTTAAATATTAATGGGAAATCTGTTATAATCTGACTTGTTGTAATTCCCCCTCAAAAGCGTCGCTTAAATTGTGTTTTGTTTCATTCACATGTTTGAGTAACACTGGATTATTAGACTGTCTGCATCTCCAAAGCTCAAAATTCTCTCTTCCACCTTAGTATTTTTAAGGTTAACAGTTATTTTTGGCCTCAGTTTAACTACTTTATTCTTCAATACACTAGAATTATAAAATAATAAACTGTTTTACTCTTCAGTACACTAAAATATAATATATAAAATAATAAAGAAGAATCTGGACCAGTTTGTACTTCAAACCCACAAATAAAAAAATAATCAAAAAAAGTAACAGTTGTTCAGGGGTTTGTTATATTGATATATCGTATTGTTTAATGTGATGATGCAGTATCGATATCATGGACTGCTGTATTGATATAGCCCCAAGAGTATTGGCATATTTTACTTTTTACTTTTATTTATTTATTTTTTACAGTTTTTTTTTTTTTGCTTGTTCAGAGGAAGGAAACTCGTTTATGTGATACATTTGACATTTTCACTGTTTTGATGAGTAAAATGGGTGTGTTTCATATGAACTTTGCAAATAAAGACTTAGTATCACAGCCATAATTTTGCAGTTTTTTAAAAACTGAATCGAATCAATTTGAAATATATCGTATCGAACTGAAAGTGCACTGTATCGACATATGTATCGTATCATGATCTATGTGTCGAGATATATATCGTATCATAGCCTGTGTATCAAGGTTTGTCTCTTCATGATACCCAGCCCATTGAACAGGAATTTTATATGAATTCCATCTGGATTTGTTTGCCAGTCCTTAAATCTCATGTTTTGTGAGATCTGCTTCAGCTTTGACAATTGTCAAGACCCAACAAATTCTCAATCTACTGTCTCTCAGTTCATCCCCAGAGACACCTGCTATACCTATTCTTATATTTACCACCACAAATGTAAGTGGAATTTGACATCTGATTTTCCTCTGTGTCGAGCTTCTTTCTAATTCAAACGAGAGTAGAGAACTAAAACTCCAGAGCCTCAGCGTAACAAAGAGTCCAGTGATTTGTTTGTGCTCCAAAGGGTTCAGAAACATTTTCAGTTTGGATTGACAGTCAGATATCCAAATCTCTTGATACAATATTTTCACGGTGTACATTTCACGGTACGATATTTATTGCAATATTTTGGAGAGACTAATATTATTGTAGATAGGACACTTTTTTGCTTTTAAAAAACCTTGACAAGATTCTGGTGTAAATTATTGCTGTCGTAATCCTAAGCATTCAAGTAAAAAACACATATCTTCATGTTGTCTGTGGTGAAATGAATCATGGGATATGTAGTTTCCCTATGTTTATTGCTATTGTTACCATAAAACAATGCATTTTAGCAAAGGAACTTGACTTTTGATGATACTATATCACAATATTTCAGTTGTTGTTACATCCTTATTTGTCAGGTATTGTAGAAAAAATAAACCGAAACATAGAGGGGTTTAAAGGTGCACTCTGTAACTTTTCTGGAGAGAGTCTGCAATTTATTTGTCTCTATGGAGATTTTAATGCTTTGGTTTTAGTTGTCCACATTATGGTATTTAAGTCATTTGTCTTGTATTTATTCAACTACAGGTGTTGTTTATTGCTCAAAAAACTGAATGAGTGGGGTCGCGTCTCCACAAATCTGACCTGTAATTTGTCTTACACGTCTCTATGTCATACTGCGGAACATTCAAGGCACATCTCCATGGAGACAAGCAAGTGACGGACCCTTCATTATAAATTACACCATGCATGTTTAAAGAGGGAGTGTTATTCAGAATTGAAAACATGAACCTGAAGAGGTTTTAGATGTCATCCATGCATGTTTGAGGAATCTAGCGATCTCTCCCGGGCCCTATTCAAACCTTCTTTATGGTTAGCAGTACGAGTCCACACCTCTTGTACAAGACTCCGCCCACAAACCTGCAGTTTTTCATGAACATACAAAAGCACGATACAAAAAAACCCCCAAAACACTACAACTTCACAAAACCGATGCCATTAGAAGTGCAGTAGTTTCATTAATGGTATGCATGCAGTTTAATTGTGTTGTGATGGTGCTCTGAAGGGGAAGTGACTTAGCAGAGGGAGCAAAAGGAGGGGAGACACAGAGCATTAAAAACAAAGCATGTTAGTACACTGTTTTTTTGTGAGAATATAGCATTTTAAAAACAATAAAAGACAATGTGGTGATCAAAATCTTTAAAAAATATTTGACAAAAGCGTTTTTTAAGAGCCAGAGTTTGTGTCCGATCAACTGGACGACTGCGAGGCTTCTTTTTATTTGAAGAAACTGAAATGCAAAGGTTCTGATTTGATACATAAGGTAATGGTAGAAGTTGATTTGTATTTACTGTGATAATATTAATGCATTAGATTTCTAAAAACGAGGCTGCTGAGGCGACTATCACCACCGCAAACCCGCAGATGTTCAGAAACAGCCATCATAGACATTCTTTGATAGTTTGTGTTTAAAAATAATATGTATTTGCTCGGTTCTAATTAATACTCACGGCATTAACTGGGACAAATGAAGCCTCGCAGATGTCCAGATGTTCGCCTTAAGTCCTAAATCCTGGGAACTTCTGGGTCATATTTGGTTTTATTGCTCTGAAATAGTGATTCACAACCGTCACTATCACTGAGAAGCTGTAATTATTATTGTGTTATTTATAATCATTATAAAATACTCAGAAGACACGCCGTTCCTTTGTTAAAATCCACACGGTCTGGTTTGAGTCTAGTCATGCTCGCCTTTTCATCTTATCTGTGGATCATCTGCTTTTCTCCATGGAAATAGAGAAGTTTAATGTACATTGTTATTACTGGTTGTGTAACTTTTCTTCAGCACAGAGTTGATTAAATGTGTTTCTTTGTGTTTTTCAGTATGACCCTCATGGGGCAGGTGGAGCCGCCGCTGGAGGAGGCGAGCGAGAGGAGAGGGAGCAGAGCCTATCAGGTGTGTGCTCTGTTAAACTTCAATCACACCGACATCAGATCCTCACCTCTGACCCCTGATATTATCCTCTCCTCTGACCTCTGACATTGTCCTCACCTCTGACCTCTGATATTACAGCCTACATATGAGGAGTTTTGTATTTTGTATTTGAAACGTGGCGGTGAGCGGATTAGAAATATTCATTTATATACGTACATGGTGACAACGCATCATTTCAGTCTTGTGGTCAGTTACTAGGGCTGAATATCATTCAGAAGTTGCCGATACATTACGTACCTCGATACAGTGAGCTTCTGATTTGATACAATTCAGTAAAAAATAAAGGCTAAATCAGGTCTGTGATACTAAAAGTCTTTGTTAAACCACTTCTTGTGCAAAGTCAATATGAAACACAAACATTTTAATCATCAAAACAGTGAAAATGTCAAATGTGTCGCATAAACGAGTTTTCTTCCTCTCAACAAGCAACAAAACTGTAGCGTTATAACAAAATAATTTATTAAAATATACCAAAAAATACTCTTGGCAATATATCAATACAGCAGCCCATGATACCGATACTGTATCAGCACATTAAATGATACGATATATCAATATTTAAATATTTTTGCACACCTCTAGACACCTTTTTTTTTAAATGATTATTATTTATTTGAGCAAGAAACAAAACAACAACACTACCAAAAAAAAAAAAAAAAAAGCAAGAATATATAGTTGTACATATTTGGGACCTTGTGCTTAAAAGGAGTAGGATGAAGTTTTAAACCTGAAAGCTGTCCTGTGCAATAACACCTGCATACAAACAGTGTTCCACATTATGGCATTTATTTTAGTTTATTTTATATTGTTTATTGTCATTATTTATTGCTCAGTGTCTTGAATAACATGGCCTGATAGAATCATCTTCTTGATGGAAACAGAAGTTTAAAGACCCACTGTGGAAAATTCCAGTCAAAGCAATTACATTTCCATAGAGACGAGCAAGTGACAAGTTACACAGTGCAACTTTAAATGTAGCAATGAGTACACCTTGAAAATGTATTTTGCTTCACAGTAGATTTTTAGACATTTTCAAACATATTTTCCAGATCTTTCCGGAGGCCAACGACTCGGACTCGGACTCGTACCCGGAGGACTTCCTGTACCGTCGGGAGCGTCTGCCCTCCATCGTGGTGGAGCCCACAGAGCAGAGCGAGGCGGAGAGCGGAGAGCTGCGCTGGCCCCCACGCACCGCCAGCTCAGAGGGAGAGGAGGAGGACAGCCAGCTTTCCCAGAGCACCACCGAGGGGGACACCGAGGACATGGACCAAGGGTAAGGACTGTCGTGTAATAATACAACTAGAATACAGGGGGTACAAACAATCATGCAACTATTAAGGTTTTGCATCTACGTCACAAAACCACATGACCTGGTGTTTACGCCGCCATATTGGAGGTCAAACTATCTTTGTAACAATATTTGCATTGAATAACAGTGGTTTTGACCTGCATTGCTATTGGATGTTTCACTAAAGAAGGAGGCCAGAGTATCTTTTTTATCAGATCCCGGCTGATAAAGATCCAATCCAATCCACTTTTTTTTCTATTGCACATTTCACAAACAAACCATTTCCAAAGAGCTGCACAACTACATAATAATAACAACAATAATAAGATGATAAAATAAACTACTAAAATAATCATACTAGTCTTAAAATAATAAAACCAGTAAAATAAAATAAAAACAAAATCAAAGAAAATAAATAAATAAACCAATAAATAAATTAAATGAATAAAACCAATAAACACACACACACACAAAAACACACAGAGGAGCACACAACTCACGCGGTGTTAAAAAACCAGAGAATAAAAGTGGATCTTAAAGACGAGAAAGACGTTCCAGAGTTCACAGACAGAGGTGGATAGCGAACATAAAAAGAGAGAGATGGAGCCCACTGAGTACAATCGTCTGTGCAGTTAACATTTCATTTCTGGTGAGGGACCATCTTCAAACAAACGAAGAAGGGATTTACAGTAAATTAAATGATGGACACCGAAACAATTTCCCATCATTCTTCACGTTCGCCCCATCGTCAGTGAAAGCCAAAGCAAAACGTTCGCTTATTTCCTATGAAAGAAAATCTAACATTAAAAAACAGATACTGGAGGTTGGGCACAGAGCGAGCATTGATTAAACTAACAAAGTGGTCCATTGGAATAGACTCATCAAGAATTTCGGACTTCCGGTCATTGCGCAGTGCATACTGGGAAGGATTTTCCGAAAAACCGCCATGTTTGTTTTCCCAGTGGGATGCGCTGACGACGCTGACACTGAATGGCGCTCCACATACAAAATGTTCACTACAAACTCGGGATGATTTAGGCAGTGAAAGGTTTCCTTTTTTGTCCTTCCTGTGGATCAATCCTGCCCTTCGCCTTCACCTTTCACTATTTTTCAATTCTGTTGGGAAGGGAAACAGTTTGAACGGAGGTTTGCAGTCACACACATCTGATTCACTTTTGCATTTATGGAGTTTGCAAACAAATTTCTAGAGCCGTTTTCCGCTGTTAGGATCCAACAATCACACAATTAACGATGTTCGAATCCCAAAACTAAAATATGACAATATCAGAACCAGAAACAAAAGTGATATGGTTCAAAAGACTTGAAAAGATCGGCTTTGTCAATAGATTCACCTCATTGGGAAATCAAACATGGTGGTTTGATGCTCAGTTTTTCGGAAAATCCTTCCCAGTATGCACTGCGCAATGACTGGAAGTCCAAGATTCTTGATGTGTCTATTACAGGGGTCACCAACACGTTGCCCGCGGGCACCCAGTCGCCCGTAAGAACCACATGAGTCGCCCACCGGCCTGTTCTAAAAATAGCTCAAATAGCACCACTTACCAATGAGCTGCATCTAATTTATTTTGTTTGCGCTTCTTGTTTAAATCAAACTTACACATAAACTGGAAATAACAATATATTTTTAAAAAAACTTTAAAAAATGTTTAATATAAATGAACTATGACCTAGTTTCGTTCAAAGGTCAGTATGATGCGCTACCAAAATGTAGCGTCTACGGCAGATTGCTACGACCAAACAACCTAGCGGGCGCAGTGAAAATGAGGAGATGACTGACCCATAAAAAGATGGCAGAAAAAAGAAAGAAGACATATCATTTTCAGGACGAATGGGAGGTCGAGTTTTTTTTTACGACTGTGAAAGGAGCATGTGTTTGTATTATTTGCGGGGCGACTGTGGCGACGGCAAAGCGGCACAATGTGGAGAGACATTTCACAACGTGTCACACAAACTACCATGCTAACTATCCACAGGGCAGTGCACTGCGAGCAGAAAAAGCCCGCGAGTTAAAGGCAGCTTTGTGCAAACAGCAAGCTTTTTTTACAAGGCCAGTTAAAGCCTAAAGCCAAAATATAGAAATAAAGTGTTGCATATTGATATTTATCTGTTCCCGATCTTGTTAAATCATTGTTGATATTCATTGTGAGAAATCATTAACATGATCAGTGTCTTTGCAGAGATGAATATCATTAACTATTAATAATGACATTTAGTTAAAGGTAAATTGAGCAAATTGGCTATTTCAGAAGTGTTATCAAACTGGTAGCCCTTCACATTATTCAGTACCCAGGAAGTAGCTCTCAGTTTCAAAAAGGTTGGTGACCCCTGGTCTATTAGATCGGGATCTACTCCACAACCCAGGAGGACGACTTTAGCTTTATACCTTTCTAATGACGGCTGATCTAACGAGCTGGTGATTTCGGACAGTTTTATGTCGTTTGCGCAATTTAAAGTCACGATTATACTGTAAATTGAATAACACCTTCCGGATCAACCTCAACCTTGACCTCCAGTATTACCTCCAAAATATTAAATCACATGACTGCCACGTCGCACGTAAATCCTCAATACAACCAAAATACAAGAGAACAGACAGTCATACAATAATACAACCATAATACAGGGTTAGGAACAGACACTTTAATAACACAGCTACAGTGGGATATGAACAGTTTTGACATTTTTATATAAGACTTTTCCACCTTCACTATGAACTACACAGTGACTTTAGACTTTAGACAAACTTTTTTGATCCATGAGGGAAATTATTTGGACACAGGAGCTCACACATCGCAATATAATATAATAACAAAGACAAAACATATACATGGTAATAATAAATTCTAAATAAGTAGCAAACAATAAGTCAAGTAAGCCATAATTCTGTAAATGTATATGCACAAGTCAAAATAAAATTGAAAAATACGTAATAAAATATAAAATCTCAGCTACAAGAACAAGAAGTACACAATAATGATGCAGCTGTTCTAATAAGGCTATCATATACAAAGACACAGGTCCATATGTCCATGTGTTACGTAACCATGACAACAGATTCTTGATCAGATTATGTTTTCTAAAGTCATATGTATTTCCTGCACGATAATCCCTCAGTCACTTCCTGTGCATTGTACATCTGCCGTTCCTCCAACAAACAGCATGTCCTCCCTGCACCCCACAGGCCCCTATAGTAATCTCACCGCAGGAAGTGGCATCACTAACACACTGTGCAGCTTTAGACACTGAGTTTGTAGTCACAGCTGCCCTGGGACGTACAGCTCCACCAACTCCAGTCACACACACTAAAACATTAACCAGAGAAGCAGGATTTATACGTAAAGACGAGATTTGGCTCCCAGGCTCATCTACAGCAACTTGGGGCCTTTCTGTGTGGAGTTTGCATATTCTCGCCTCTCCACAGATCTGACCTGTACACGTCTCCATGTCACACTGCGGCCACGTCCACACTAGTACATATTCGAGTTGGTTTCATTGTGGATGCACTGTTCATTCACACTAATCTGACTGAAAACGGCTCCAGAGTCGGAACAATCTGGTGCCGCCAGCTCCCACGAATTCATCTGAGTAGGGATCTGATCCGGCGCTGTGTGGCCGCCTGAAAACGTTGATACTCTGATGTACGCTGATGTAGGTCTCTGCACCGTGAAGTAGCTAATTCACCGCCAAAACGCTAAGAGGCTAGAATATAATATACAGTCTGTGCGCATGAATAGCAGATGTATAAAAGTTTAATATGAACCATCTCCAATGCGATAGAAACACAGAACAGCATCAGCAGAACACCCCTCTGTCACAGAAAGAACACTCATATTCCACTGATTCGTGTCCTTTAGTCCGACAGAAGCTGAACCGCATCAGCGCACAATAGCTGTTTATGCAAATGAGCCATGTGGTTTTAAGTTTTGTTTCTGTAAAATGTAAACAAATATGCTCAAAGCTGTGTGGATAGGGACACATTGCACCTTTAAAGAGTTATTCAGAATTGAAACCATGAACCTGAAGAAGTTTTAGATGTCGTCCACGCATGTTTGAGTAATCTAGTGATCTCTCCTGGGCCTTATTCAAAGCCTCTTTACAGTTAGCAGTCCACACATTTTGTACAAGACTCCGCCCACAAACCTATATCATGCCATTTTTTCATAAATACATAAAAAGCATGAGAAAAAGATAAATAAAATTAAAAAAAATAAATAAAAAAAATAAATACGTTCTACAACTTCACAAACCTGATGCCATGTGCAGTAGATTCATTAGTGGGATGCACGCAGATTGTGATGTGTTGTGATGGTGCTCTGAGGGGGGAGTGACTTAGCACCGCGAGCAAAAGGAGGGGAAACACAGAGCATTAAAAAAAGGGGGACATGTTCTCCCTGAGTCTGGGTGGGTTTACTCTGAACATTTACCCCCATCAACACAAAACATGCTCAATAGGAAAACTCTTGTGTGAGTTGAGCTGAAGCTTGTACCTCGGTCGGTTGGGTCACATGCGGAGGTTGTGTCTCATGAGGATTAATCCCGGACTCATGACCTCACACTTCCAGTAAGTCTGAGGTTTATGGTGAAGCTGAATCTGCCAGTGCCTCCTCAGCGCTCTGTCGTCCATGTGTCCAACAGTCTGGACTTTCTCTTTGCAGCTCCAGCTCCAGGAAGTCGTCCATCGGTCCTTCCCAGAGTCAGATGTCCCTCTCCAGGCTCACCCCTCCGGCCTCCCCGACCCCCCCAGAGTCCGCCCCGCCCTGCCTGCGGAGCTGAGGAACCACGGCGGCGTCATCATCAGCTGATCCTCGGAGCTTGTTTGTTACCCGGGAGTTTGGGTTCACCTGTCTGTAGTGGTGTCCTCCTGTTCCTGTCGTGGACACTGTCAGTGGAGCATCAGCATTCACACTGCAAATGATGCTCACCTCCTGTACTAGACTCCAGGGGGCGCTCACCCTCACAAACCCTGGCATGACAATAGAGCTGTTTAGACAATCTCTCTCTGTCAGTTGTTAGTATTTAAAGCATTAAAGGTCCATACCAGAGTCCTGCACGGGTCTGATTTTGACCTGCACCCCCTGATTTTATTAAAGTTAAACTCGCACTTGCCCAGACCCTTTAATATTCCACCCATTACCCACCCATGCCTGTACAACTTGAAAAGTTATGACGTCGAGAATTACAATACACGAAATGAAATGAAACGGTTTAGCTTTCTTCCAAACGAACACGAATTCACAGACGCGACTCAACTGTCAACACTTCACAGGCTTTATTTACTGAGCAGAAGAAATATTGATCGCACACGCCATGGACTAAACCAGGACTAAACCAGGACTGACCCAGGACTAACCCAGAACTAATTCCAGGACTAAACCAGGACTGAACAATTTGGGTTTGGAACATCCATTACACAATAGTCAAAAATCTTACTGATTTCTTGGAGACAGTCACAGACTAGGAACTATGAAAGGCCTGCTATTGCTCCTCCCCCCGGCGTTCTGAGAAAGCACAGGCTCCGCCCTCCAAACGTGACGTAGGCTCTGAGTGAGCCGCCCTTCCTCCGTCCATCTCAGGGAGGGAGGGGGAGACAGACGTGCACCCTGATAGCGGCAGGAATAAACTATTATTCATCATGGTGATACAGCGCGTTCAGCCGCATGTGTTGGACCCAGAATCGGGCGAGGACTTTGAGGAGCACAAAGCTCAAGCACCGCGTCCACATCAGCTGAACATTACTGATTGGTAAAGTATTAATAAACACTAGTAGATAAACTTATTATATCATGTTCACTGCAGTGTAGAAAAATGAGCTTATGCTGTCGCGTGGTGGAGGTGGGGTGGAGGCGGTGGATGTGAAGCTCTTTCTGCTACGTCAAACGCGTCATAGGTGTAGCTGCTGTGTCATCGTTGTAGCAGCATTAATTTGTACACTGCAATTTGTTATAAAAACGCTGAATCAATCTAAAAACCACTTCAGCGACATATATAAGGCCCACACATCACTTTTAGAAGGTAGAAAGCTCTGAAAAGTTGATTTTGCATGAGATGGGCCCTTTAAATCCAAGATTAGTCCTGACCTGCCCGTGTGTAATCACTACTCGCCCGCATACCCGCCTGTTAAAGTCCAGAACGTTAAAACCCACCCATTTCAGCAGCTGTTTGCCCGTACCCGGTGCAGGACTCTGGTTCGTACACAAAGAGATTTTATGTTTGAACCATGTTTTATTTTGATGCCGTTTCCTCAAACACACCTGGAGTAGCGATGGTGTTGTCCTGCATATTTAGTGCATCTTTCCTTCTTTCTCCTCACTGCTTTGCGCTCATTTTTTGTCCATGTATTACAGACTTTTTATAGGCCCTTCTGCTGGGATCTTCTATACACACACATTTCACATTTAATTTAAGCTTTAAGACAGGGATCATTAAACTAACTTTAACATTTTGGCAAATAATGACACATCTGCATCTTGTATTTTGTTGATTTTTCAATTAAAAAAAATTATACTTATATGATGTATTTATCTTTATATTTAAATAATTACATGACGTATTTACATTTGCCCCTGAATTTTCATTACCTGACAAACTCGAGATGCACGAGCAGAGGTCTGTAGTGCAGTAAAAGACAGAAAAATGGTGAGTGTTAAAGTACGAAAAGTTGACAGAGAGTGCCGAGTTTTCAAAGAACAGCGGACAACCGATTATTTTTCAGTGTGGCTATTTTAAAAGATCTATTTTAAAATCTGCGTTGTCAGATTCGTTCAATTCTGTCATACGGCCCCGACCTGACCCAGGCCCCCGTCACAGTCAGGAGCGATAATGTGGCCCCCAGAGGAAAAAGTCTGATGACCTCTGTGGATTTTGTGTTTTTCAGATTATAGAATGTGAACGTTGCCATGAAATATCCAAAAGATAAAAGCACAAATGTTGAAATCTGCTTTTAACAGTATTATCTGCTCTCCATCTGTTTTAAATATTATTATACAATGACGTGATATCATCTGCAACCCAGCATTTGACCCATTTATTGTTTCCTGTTATATCACAGAAAGAATAAAGTCTCAAAACTAGTAAAAAAACAAAACAAATGCACAGTACAGAATCTTTAGAGACACACGTAGAAGGACTTTTCTGATCTGCTTCGTACTTTTTACTTCCCCTGCACTTTACACAACCACAGCAGGTTAAATCAGTCTATAAAACTGTTGTGTATTTTTATTTTAGCTCGTTTAGATCATGAATTTCCTTTTTTGATTTCAAGTGACATTTCTGTAAAACCCCAAAATGTTATTTGATTAAAGGAACACTATGGTTGGGGTCTACCACCTGCTCTTCTCCGTGGAAATATTATTACTTTGCCCTCAATATGGTTTTACATTTTTATATCTCACATTTTTTCTGTTGTTTGTCTCCGTGGAAACAGATAACTTTAATGCTATGACATGGAACATTCCACACACAGAGAAAAATATCTCCAGAGAGAAGAGAAGGTTTCAGACCCTCAGACACAAACCGACAGGCAGAGGTGGGTAGTGCTCAGTTACTCATTTTTTTGAGTAACTCTACAATGAATCTGTACTTTTCAGAGTACTTTTCGAAGCAGCATTTTTTGACTCTTACTTGAGGAATATTTTTATTGAAGTAACAGTATTCTTACTTCAGTGAAAGTTTTGGTCACTCAAAAGTTTTCTGTCGACAATATGAAATGATTTGAACATTTGTGTTTCTTGCACTGCTCATGTGACTCGGCTTGTGTCTATTCTTTCAAAAATAGCAAATTTGATGCATTATTTAATGTTTTGTCCTTAGACTTACGCTTAAACAAACTTTATTGATCCACAAGAGAAATTATTTGGACACAGTAGCTCACACATCACAATATGATATCATAACAAAGAGTGAAAAATTCCACTTTAAGTCAGTTATACTTTAAGTTACTTTTACTTGAGAAGTACTTTTTAAAACTACTTTTTTTGGCTACTCTACCCACCTCTGCCTGTAAGGAAATTAAAACATATATTCAACCATACATGATTTGCACCTTTATCTGTGTGAATTTGTAAATTGTAATATATTATCTGTCTTCATCTTATTGTTATTTTTATTCAAATTATTAATAAAGAAATAACTGTTCTTAGCACTTTCTTTTTTCTTTATTTTGTGTCCAGACATTGATATAAAATTTGAAAATGTCTGTTATATTACTCTCTTGAAAGAAATCTGTTTAATTATTCTTTTGAGAATAGTGCCACTTCATAACAAAGTTTATACCAAACAGCTAAACTAAATTATGTACATAACTAATGGCACTAAGCAATTAATTATATTTTTACTAAAGCATAAACATTCACACTCTGTCTCTGTTTAGAATGTTGTTATCTCCTCAAAATCATACCTGGAGTTTCATTCACACATGTTTAAGTCATCTTTTATTATTAGTCTGTCTACATTTCCAAAACTCAAAATGCTCTGATCCACCTTAGGCATTTTCAGGCCGACAGAGAACCATGCCAGTGTCGGTTCCCACACGTAATCTTGGACCAACTCATGTGTTCATGCCGGAAATAAGAGTGTTCGGGAACCAAAAAGTTGGGAACCAAAAACTTGTTTTTTCAAAGAAAACTGTGATAACACAGTAGACGTCAGCACGTTCATCTGGATCACATGCTGTAAAATAAACAAACAAAGAGCAACTGAAAATATCATGTATGAAATTAAAAGTTTTTAGTCTACAAAAACACTATTATGAATCATTTGTCTTGCATGTATCTGTGTTCGCCTGGTAAGGTCACATCTTTGGATTGGGCGTCGCTGCCGCCTTCTCCACAGCAGACTGATGTTGTAGCAGAGCTTGGCGCATATAAATAATGACTTGTATAAGTACAAACGCTCACTGGTGTCGATGATGTGAACCATGATTGTTATTTTCCTCCCTGTGACATCCGTTTTTGTATGGCCTTGTTTTTATTTGGTGGTAAATCCACACACTCTGTTGATGATGCGTCGTGGGTTCACGTAAATGGTTTGAATGCGGATCATTCACCGGTAAGAACTTTGGTTCCCAGTGGAACTGGTGCAGGAACCGACACCGGCACGTTCTGACCGGCTTGAAAACAGCTCTTGTGATGTCATGTAGAGATTGTAACAGCAACTTTATTACCTTTAGTTCTGTAGAAAATTGTAGTTGCAAAGCAGAAATTATCTGAATTATTCTAGTGAAGGTGCATGGCGTTTAAAAACACAGAAAATATTATGTGGGCCTTTTAATTTAAAACCAAAGTATTAATTTTGTAGCTTTCACAGACATATTCTTTCCTCACAACCCTGCCCCTCACTCTCACAGCAGTACAGCAGACCTTCCCGTGTTAATGAAGGTTAACTCTAGGCTGATAAACCTCTTTAGCCTCTGCCCCGGGTCAGGGATGTGATGACCACTACTCACCACCAGAGGGCGGCAGAGCAACACTTTAATGTGCGCATGACAGGTTAGAATACTTCAATAAAACATGTAAGTTAAAGTCAGTATATTAGAGATTATTTCTAGTTCTTTAATTTTGGTTTGTGGAGTTTGTAATTTTGCGTCCTGGTTGGTCATGGGGAGTAGATATAAAATACAGGGGTAATTCCATGAACCGGGAAATTATATTAAAGGTTTAAACTTACTATACCTAAACTTGCCGCTACTTTGTGTGTTTTTGTACTTTTCTTTTCTTGTCCACAAACTGCCACTTAACTGATGTAAAATACTGACCAAATACCAGAGAAATATTTTAAACAGGTACTATTCTACCAACCAAATCAAGTATTTATTAGAAAAATGTTTATGTTGCCAGTAGTAGCAGTAGTACTAATATTAGTAGCAGTAGTAGTAGTAGTAGCAGCGATAGCAGTGGTAATAGTAGTAATAGTACTAGTGGTAATAGTAGTAGCAGTAGCAGTAGTAGTAGTAGCACTTTGAATTACTTTGTGTTACTTTGTGTTAATTGTGCTATACAAATAAACTTGCCTAGTAGTAGTAGTAATAGTAGTAGTAGTAGCAGTGGTAGTAGTAGTAACAATAGTACTAGTAGCAGTTGTAGTAGTAGTAGTAGTAGTAGTAGTAGTAGTAGTAGTAGCAATAGTAGTAGTGTTAGTAGTAGCAGTAGTAGTAGTAGTAGTAGCAGCAGCAGTAGTAGTAGTAGTAGTAGTAGTAGTAGTAGTAGTAGTAGTAGTAGTAGTAGTAGTTAGTAGTAGTCAGTAGTAGTAGTAGTAGTAGTAGTAGTAGTAGTAGTAGTAGTAGTAGTAGTAGTAGTAGTAGTAGTAGTAGTAGTAGTAGTCAGTAGTAGTAGCAGTACAGTAGTAGTAGTAGTAGTAGTAGCAGTAGTAGTAGTAGTAGTAGTACAGTAGCACAGTAGTAGTAGTAGTAGCAGTAGTAGTAGTAGTAGTAGTAGTGTAGTAGTACTGTAGTCAGTAGCTGATAGTAGTATTAGTCCTAGTAGTAGTAGTAGTAGTAGTCAAGTATGGGCATGATTGACAGGTGAATTAACCAATCAGGGACACGAATGGTCTGCCCATATCCAAAAAAAATAAATAAATAAAGGAGAAAACATCACAGGGACTAAAAAACAACAGAACCGATGAGCGACTCACTAAACTGTGTTAATCTGACGTGAGGTCACTTTGATTTTATTTGTAAATTAAATGTGACCAATGAGCTTCTACGTTTCACTTGTGTCACTGAAATAAACAAATCTGATTGGACGTAGGGCTGAGTATCATTAAGAAGTTGCCGAAACGATACATACCTCGATATATAGACCATGATTCAATACATACCTCGATACATAGGCCACGATACGATACATACCTCGATACATAGGCCACGATACGATACATATCTCGATACATGGGCCACGATACGATACATATCTTGATACATAGGCCGCGATACGATACATACCTCGATACATGGGCCACGATACGATACATATCTCGATACATAGGCCGCGTTACGATACATACCTCGATACATGGGCCACGATACGATACATACCTCGATACATAAGCCACGATACGATACATACCTCGATACACAGGCCATGATACGATACATACCTTGACACATAGGCCGTGATACGATACATACCTCGATACATAGGCCACAAAACGATACATATCTCGATACATAGGCTGCGATACAGTCCGTACCTCGATACATAGGCAACGACCAGATACCACAATTAAATTAAACAATACAATACGATATTTCAATATTTTTGCACACCCCTAATTGGATGAAAAAATACTGAGATTCAAGATTTGCTAAGCATAATAATACTAGTAATTGTGCCTGTAATTCTTCTTTTTAATAACACTAAATACAAATCCAACATAAGACCTGGATTTTCTTTATTTCTTTTTTTCCTTTATTTATTTATTTTATTAGTAGGATTTGTTGGGACTAAATCCTTCGAAGTTACAGTGCACAGTGTGGCTTTATAAAAACCATAATGAACTTTTATGAGGTGTCAAATGTAATTAACCCCGACAATGAAACTTTTTTAACTAGTCAGAGCTGCTGGTAAAACAGAGACTTGACATTTTATAAGTAAAACATGTGCGAATAACCTGTGATACTGAACAAAGTAATTAAAACTTGTACACCATTTTCTCCCATTTGTTTGTCTCGTCCCAGTACAGATGTATTGTGTAAGCAGCTCTTGAGGTCAAATATAAATCTCCTGTGTACTGTCTGCATCTAATTATGAAGCGTTTTTTATTGTCCAAGTGTCAGCAAGTGTGTCTTACCATGCTAGTTGTCTCCTTTGCTCTGGCATTACCTTTTGCTTTGGACCACAGCAAACCGTTTTAAATGAATTTGTTTTGTTTTTCATGTTTTTAGGAGAGTAAAAGTCAAGTACAGCACCTTTAGATATTAACCTGGAAACTACTACTACAAACCATACCAACTTTATTTACAAAGCACTTTAAAAACTTTACAGCTGGCCAAAATGCTGCACACAAACACAGGATAGACAAGGGCAATCACTGTACAACACAATACACAATACAAACACATTATAACAGCTAAAAAACAGAAAACAATAAGATACTCAACAACAAGAAGTGTACATCTCAGTTGTTAAAACTCAGTGAGAAAAGGTGTGTTTTTAGGAGTGATTTAGGCCCTGTTTACTCAAGAACGCTTGCGGGTAAAAATGAAGAAGTGGCTTTCATTTAAACGGTGACGGTGTTTTGGGGGCTTAAAAACGCAAAAATCTGAAACCAAACTCCAGAGTGGAAAAGTTGAATACGCTCCACCGTGGTGTTTCCGTCTACACTGCCCAAGACACAAAACTCTGGTCAGATCTGCTCACATCGCGTACACTTTTACGTCACATACATCACCACCCAGCGTCACCACCTAGCCGCCTGGCTTGTATACCCAATCGAATTCCACACACTTTTGCGCCACCGTATGCACGCAGATTTCCTCCTGAAAATGCTCGTCTAAACGCAGCATACAAAGTGAAGACACAATGCCACTTTTGTGTCTTCTGTTTAGACCGTCATCATATAAATGTAACTTTAAAAACAAATCTATCCTAATGGTGACTGGTTCCACAGCCGTGGGGCAGCAACAGAAAACACATGGTCTCCACAAAGCTGCATTTAGTCTTTGGGATGGCGAGTTGGACTGGTTGGCTGGTCTGCTGACTTGAGTATACGAGAGGGGGCGTAAGGGTAGATCAAGTCAGCGAGGTAAGAGGGCGCAAGGCCGTAAGTAAATAAAATAATTTTAAAATCAACTCTAAAAGACACTGGGAGCCGATGGAGAGGGGCTAAAATAGGTGAGATGCTCTTGTGTTTCCGGGTTCCAGATAAAAGTCGAGCTACTAAATTTTGGACTCCTGCATTTTGGCTGACACCAACATAAAGTGCAATTACAATAATCCAATCTAGTCGTCACAAATGCATGTTGGACAGTTTCAAAGTGTTCTGCTGATAAAATGGGCTTAATTTCAGCCTGCTGTCTTAGC